GGTACTGGGTGCTCCTGCAGAAAACCGGGATTCAGTTCCCAGCACCCACAAGGTGGCTAACAACCTTCCATGTGACTCCAGTTCTGGGGGATCCCATGCCCTCTTCTGACCTCTGTGAGCATTGCACAACACAGATATGCTCACATACGTGCAGGCAATACACTCATACACAAAATACAATAAAAGTTTAAAAAAGCCCTGGAGCTGTGGACCGTCTAGCAGAGCCACACACCCGTGTAGTCCTCAGGATGAGACCCTGCACACTGGGCCTCTGTTTGACCCGGGCTCCAGCAGAGGTGGCTAGCCAAGGCCTTCCTGCACCCTACCTTCCAGACAGCATATCCTCCAGAGCCCCGAGTGTGTGAGGCCCCCAGGGTCCTTTTTCTCGGAGGAGCCGCTACCCCCGCGGTGGGGCGGCCCGTCGTCGCCCGCGGTGAGGTTGGTGGTGTTGCAGATGAGTGCCCGCGTGTACAGCCAGTAGTCGGTGCTGATGGCGATGGTCATGAGGCCGAAGGCCGCGAAGGCGCCCACGGTGGTCAGCAGCACCTGAACACCCTTCTCACACCACAAACCCCTCTCTTCGTTCCAGCGTTTCAGAGACTCCAGTTTGACCACGGGCAGCCGGGGGGCCGTGGGCCACCACCGGGGCAACGGAGGCGGGGCCGTGCCGGCGGCTGGGGGGGTTCACAGCGCAGGCAGAAGCTGGGGGGCCTCTGATGGCCAGAGAGGGGGACAGGGGAGGCAGCGAGAAGGTGGCTGCTGAAGCCGAGCAGGGGTCAGGGCGAAGCCATGGTCTCCAGCTGCTGAAGGCAGAGGCGAGTGTTAGACAGGGAGGTCCTCTCCGGGAGGGTCATTTGTCCCCCAAACTGCTTCCCCACTAAATTTCACCAAGAGAAATCCCCCAGCTCAGAGGCCCGGACCCAGCCTTTCAAGCTCCTCTCCTGCAGACCTTACCTCTTCTAAAGCCAGCCCCCACCTCCACCCGACTGTCACCTCCTTCCAAGGGGCCTGTCTGCCCATATTGTCTTATACTACCACTACCCCAACTCCCATTACCAGCCTGCAGTCTCCAGCCCCTCTGCACCTGCTAGGAGAGTTGTTTAGGAAAAACCTAGCCTGGAATCCCGGACTGTTACCACACCCTCAGCTGGGAATACAGTTAGTCTGTCATGCAGAGAGCCCTGGGTTTCATCTCCAGCACCATATAAACAGGGAATGGGGGTGCATGCCTGTAATCCCAGCACTCAGGAGGTAGAGACAAGAGAATCAAGAGTTCAAGGTCATCCTTGGCTACATAGCAAGTTGGAAGCCAGCCTGGGCTATATATGAGATCCTAATCTTTAAAAAAATCAGTCATCCATCAATCCCACTAGTTTTATTTCTCCTCCTTGGCAAACCCTCCTCCCCAAAGGCTCTGTTGTGGGGTTGTGGTTTTTTTTTTTTTTTTTTTTTTTTTTTTTTTTTTTTTTTTCACATGTGAACAACACCTGGTGTATCTCCTACAATTTCCTCTACTTAGGAAAAATAAATCTCAAAATCTCTCCTTAGCTTTAAAAACCATCTTCCCAAGGGACCCTCACTATTTATGCAAATGCAATATCTGTTCAAGAGTCCTTAGTTCCATAAGACTCTCTCTCCTCCCTCAGCCTGTGTCTCAAGAACTGGCCTTACCACCTCCCGCACATCTTCAAAATGCCAAAGGATTAAAAAAAAAAAAAGTTGATGCTGGAGTTGTACCTGAGAAATTCTGATTTAATAAATCTGAGGAGTGCCCAGGCATCTGGGGACTTTTAAAAAGTTCCCTGGGGAATTTCCAACACCCCACCCCAGGGAGGACTGCACCCCTCCCCCATCCCCATCACATTGCCCCTAACAGTCCCCACAGTGTGCCCATGGACCATTCATCCACTTCTCCCCAGCCCAGTCCCCTTCTGTGTCTTTGACGCAAGGAAAACTCCCCCCCTCTCTTAAAAAGTGTTCAGAACCTGGTCTCTGCTCTCTCTACAACTTACATGAACTCATCATCACTGCTGCTTTCCCCTTCATTAAGAAAAATTCTTTCTCAGCTCTACAGGGTTTTCTATTCTCATCAGTCGCCCCCTCTAGACCCCAATTTCTTCCCATTCAGAAATGTCTCAAAATCTAACCCATCCCCAAAACCTAACCACGACCCCCTGCTCTGCCCAGCATGCCTTGGCTCTTGCCTTCTGCCGGGATGCCTCACCACTGCCTCAATATCCACATCGCAAGGGATCCCCCAAATTCTAGATCTTCTCAGGTGACTCTGAACCTCACACTCTCTTCAGGTACTAAGTGCTACTCTCCCCAACTTCTCTTGCATCACGGAGAATTCCCTTCCCTTTTGCACACTTCTTCCACCTGCCATATTACTCAACCTCCCTCCACGCAGGAAATCCCCTCCCCAGGCCCCCACAGACTTCCCTTCTTAGAAACATCCCAGTCCTTCCCCAAGAAGACTTCACCTGTACAGTCCTCATCTGATTCCATATTTTAAAAGATTCCCAACCTCCACTCAACCCAGTCCATTGCACCCTCCAGAAAAAGAAAACAAAAAAAAACAAACAGAAAACAGAATCTACAAAACTATAACTCTCTTCTCCAGGAGGTATCCTGCCCACCCCCATTTGTCTATTCACTCAGTCCACAAGGGCCCACCATCAGCCTCTTCTTGGCCATGTGCTGCCAGGTCCCTCACCTGTTTCATCCACTTTCCTTGACTTCTTCCCCCAACCCCCCCCCCCGTAGGAAAGAGCCAGGAGTCTCTGAGGAAGAGAGAAACCAACCACAAACCCCAGGTCCTGGGTACGGGGTGACCTTGGCCTCCCAGTTTCCTCTCTGGCTTCACCACCCCCACCAGCGAACCGGGGACTGGGTCTGCTCCCAGGAGGGGCAGCAAAGAAAGGTTGTCTATGGGGGGGTGTCTCCATAGCAACGGGGCCTAGTGCCCCACACGTGTGCTCCTGCCTGCATACACATATATACACAACACACACGCACACACACACAGCCCCTTCCTGGGCCCTGGTCCCTAGCCTCCCCATCTTCCAGGCTGGCTCCTGACTGAGACTGAGTTTCCTCTCTTCCTGTCTCTGGGCATGCCTGCACCCCTCACCACCAGCACAGCAACCACCTCCACTGTCTTCACAAATTGCTGCTTCCACAGGGGTGAGCTCTGACCCCAGGATGTACCTCCTCCCCTAGTAGGGCCCTACAACCCGGGATAAGAGAGAACAGGACCAGAAGGGACTTTCTCCATCAATAAAGATTTGAAGAGCTTTTCATTTTTGTCAATTTGGGGACAATCTGTTTGGCTTTAGGGACTCTTCATTAGTCCATCTGCAGAGGAGAAAGGAACAGGGGACCCCCACTACTAAAGCTTCCGGATGGAAGAGGGGTTCAGTCCTGCCTCGGTTTGAGGGACTCGCTCTGTTTCTCAGAATGGGGGGGGGGTTGTTTCACAGAACCTTAATTCTCTACCCACCCACCTCCGATTAATAAAAAGATCTCTCACCTCAGTTATCGATAGGTCAACTCTCCGATGCACTGGGGAGGGACGCGTAGCCTCTGCTGCCGGCACCCCCCCCAGAAACACCTCTGGGCTCCTAGTTCTCGCTGCTTCCCCCTCCCCCAGCAGCAAGGGACCCAGGCGTCCGACCTGGTTGAGGGGAGATCGAGATGAGGAGGCGTATGAAAAATGGGGGTGTAGAGTGAGGGGGAGGGGAGATGGGGGCAGCTCTGAGCTTGGGCCTTCAGGATGTGAGGGTCGGGATTTAAAAAAAAAAAAAAAAGGTGAGGAGACAATTTGGTTCTCGTGTCGCTGGGTAAAGTGCGGAGCTGGAGGAGAGAGGGAGGGAGGAGGGAGGGAGGGGGAGGGGAATTGCTGAGGGATGGGGGAGCCTCTGAGAGGAAAGGGATGGGGGGAAGGGAAATGGTTGGGGGGCAGGGTCTGGGTGCCAGAAGGAAGCCGGGGAAGGAGAGAGAGATCCGGAGAGGGAGAGAGAGACACACAGAGAGACAAGGAGAAACGGAAAGAGAGAGAGAAAGAGAGAGAGAGAGAGAGAGAGAGAGAGAGAGAAACAGGGGTGGGGGAGGGAAGAATGGGGGGAGGGAGTGACTGATAGCAGAAGGAACTTGAAGAGACACACACAGAGAAATATCCAGAGAGGAAGAGGAGACAGGCAGTGAGGAAAGAGGGAAAAAGCAAGAGATGAGGGAGAGATGGGGGGTAGGGGGGAAGCTGGGGGTCGGTGGGGGAAGGAAGAGGAGGAGGGGGATCCAGATCTGGGTGACGGAGAAGGAAGAGGGGCAAGGGGCAGAGTCATCCAGAGAAGAGGCAAGAGAGAAGATAGGGAGATAACGGAGAGGAGGGGGACCGGGAAAGAAACAGAAAAAGGGATGAGGGAGAAATTGGGGATGGGGGCATGGTCGGGTGAGAGACAGAGACAGAGAGAGAGACTGAGGCTGGGAGTGAAAGACCCACAGACTAGAGGGCCGAAGGAGCCCGAGAAAAACTGGGAGAGGGGGGGCCTACACAGATGCATTAAGGAAGTCAGCGATAGAGGGCACCCCTGCCCTCTCCCCAACCCTCACCCTATCCCCTGATCCCTACCCCCACCCCATTTCAAAGCCACCACCCCCACCCCCCACTAGCCTCCATCTCTTCAGCATCGCTTGCTGCCACCGCCTCTTCCTGTCGTCATAGCAACAGGATCCAGGCGCCCAGCCAAGGTTGGCAGCAGCGGCCGGAAATGAGGGGAGGGCCTTTTGAAAAAGACCCCAAGAATGCTATACCCTCGTTCCCTGGGGGAGGGGGGGATCCAAGGGAAAACTGAACTTCCCGGGGTCTTTTCTCTTCTCCCAAGTAGTGGGGCCGAAGATCCCTTCTAAAACAAAATCAATTTACAAGGATACCAGGCATTTTGAGTTTCACCAACAAATTTCTTCTTGGTACCCTCCACCTCTCCCCTAGCTTAACCCTGATGCAGAAAGAGGGTCCAGTTCGATTCTCCTCAAGCAAAGAAGGGTATGAGAACGTGTCCAGGACTGGGCTGGAGCTAGGCAACAGTTCTGAGCATAGGTATGTTATCGCTTCTAGAACGAGCCAGTGAGTATGGGGTGGGACGGTTTGAGGTAGAAAAGTGAGATGATGGCAACTTTGGCCTTGATCTCACTCTCTGGAATGATGCTGGGCTACTGGGTGACCTTGGGCCAAACATTTCTTTTCCTCTAAACTCTGTCACTCTCGGTTTTAAAGGAAACCAAAGTTGTCTTAATTAAATGAGAGTATCCTGCATTAAATGAGACCTCATGCATTGCTCTAGGGAGTAGTTTTGACAGAACTGCATCCTCATGCAAATTGATCCAGGTGAGGTGGTGGTGCACATCAGTGACTCCAGCACTCTGGACGTGGACACCGGAGGTCAGGAGTTCAAGGTCATCCTCAGCTACATAGGGAATTTAAGGTCAGCCTGGGCTACATGAGCAGAAGGGAGGGAGGGAGGGAGGGAAGGAAGGAAAGAGGGAAGGAGGGAAGGAAGGAAGGAAGGAAGGAAGGAAGGAAGGAAGGAAGGAAGGAGGGAGGG